TTCAGAAAGCCTGTGGGATTATTGTTCAAGATCATTTTGAAAAATAACAAAGTTTGGCTCCTTGGAAGCAAAACAAAGAAATTAAAGACTCGCACAGTACTCTATAATATAATTCACTTAAATCTTCCTTATGTTAAATCATAAATGAGCTGATCTGCAGAGGGCACATATAAAAGGTGTTTTCAGGTTACTTCTGACGCATGTAAATATCAGCTTCATCATAACGCTGGCCTTCATTAGCCTGAGAGAAATTCAGCATATTTGATGAGCTTGATTCATCGCTTTGTAAAACTTCAGAATCCAAATAATAGCAGCTCATATTATATCAGGTGAAAGGAGTCAAAACTCTGCAAAGTGTGGAAGACTCGTGCGACAGCAGCAGAGGGCACTTTAGGAGAGCGCGTGGATTCAGTAACGTGACACGCGAATGATGAAAATGAGTCCGCGCCTTTCAGGCCTCGCTGTGTGGGTGTGCCTTCAGAGAGATTCCTCCAGAGCCCAGCCTGCTTCCACAGTTCCAGTAAGAAAAACCTTTCACATCTGCCCACTTCTGCCGGTGCTTCTCTGAATAACAACATCGCAACATAACCCCCTTGAAAATATTCTGCAGTAGAACAAAAACTGAAGAAAACCATGAATTAACATATGAACATTACCTGATGCTGAACTGAAGCAGAGCAAAGTTACACAGGTTTTATTAGATACATAGCTAAGGGTTTTGCAATTTTTTTTATGTTTATTCATAAGACTTTAAGGGCAAGATTACATAAAATCACACCAGACAAAAAACAATAACATCCAAGCACAGCAAGAAAGACAAAAATGAAAAAACAAAACAAACAAGTCCAGGAAGGAATCCGGCAGAAGTGTGGTTTCACATAAACACAAAGTGCAGTCAAATGGGTTAAAGATTGTGTTGAATCCCTGACCCTCCCTCCACCCTTTTCCGTCTGTGGACCATGGCCTCATATTTGGAGGTGCTGATTCTCATTCCCATCACTTCACACTCGGCTGTGAACCGTTCCAAGGCGAGCTGGAGGCCATGAACTGACGAAGCCAACAGGACCACATCATCTGCGAAAAGCAGAGATGAGATCCTGAGACCACCAAAGTGAAAGCCTTCCGCCGCTTGGCTACGCCTAGAAATTCTGTCCATTCTAATGGAGCGATTCTGTTCATCATAAAAATTAAGAACAGAATCGTTGACAAAGTGCAGACCTGGCGGAGCCCATCACATACCAGGAACGAGTCCGACTTATTGCG